ATTTTTTATATTTAATCCAATATTTACTATGGGTGCTCCCATTTTATTAAGGGTAAACTATGCCTTGTCAATCAAATTATTTGTTGTATTTACATGATTACTTAATTATTAAATTTATTAATTTAGTTATTAAAATTTGAGTAATTTTTTTTGTCACCAACCATAATAGTGCAAAACGAATTGAATATAAATGAACGAATGTATGTCTTTGTTTGTTCGTTAGTTTAAAGATGTTCAGATTCAATTCATATTCAATAAAAAAAATTATTCAGTTCAATTGAGCTTGGTCCATTAAATAGTAGAATGTTTTCTTTCGATTTGTGTTTAGTTCGATTTAGTTTAAACGAACTCATTCGTGAATATTCAAATGAATAAGTCAAGAAAAATATACAAACAAACATGTTCAATAAATAATAAACAATCATAACCAATCAAATTTATACAAACAAACCCTAAATAAGATAAAAGATAAAAATGTAATTTTTGGTTATTATTATAAACGAATTATAAATGACGGAGTTTTAAATAAATTTTAAACAAGTTTATTTGCAAAAATAAATAAATCAAACAAATCTTTGTTTATGTTTGGTTCATTTAATAAACAAATGTAAAAATGCTATTTAAGATTATTTGTTAAACTTAATAAATGAACATAAATGAATAAAAATCGAACATATTCACAAATAATTCATTAAAAGTTCTATTTGTTTACACCCTTAATTGTTAATCTCTAACTGTATGATGAAGTAATAATGCCATGTCAATTGTTAAGTGACATGTGGCATTACCACATCACCTGATATTGCTAACAAGACATTTTAAATTTTGAAAAGAAAAAAATTTTTCTAATATAGCAATGCTACGTAATATTGAAAGATTAATGGTTGAGTGAAAAAAAAAACACTTACTCAATTTTTAGTGGCTAAAATAAAAATTTTAATTGTTTAGTGACAATTTTAAAAACATGACCATTGATATAATTTATCCTTTTATTAACAAAACAAATTGGTTATTCCTATAACAATGCTGTTATTTTCATCTCATTCCCACTTTTTGATCTCGATCCTCACTTAGTTTTCATGTTTTCAACTGAAGAAATATGCATTTTCAATCTTGTACTTGCAAATTGAACTTTGTTAAATAATTGATTTTTTTTAAAGAAAAAATAATGAGGAGATTGGTCTAAAAAAATTATAAAACAGTTAATTATTTTCTATTTAAAATTTTGTTAATTTTATAACTGTTCTTTAAATGAGATTCATGTGAATAACTTTTACAATAATGTGTCTACAAATACCTATTAATGTTAGTTAAAATGCAAAACTCTCACTTTAATTATTGAGTTCGTTTTTTTATACATTCACTAAAAATTTTTAATTTCATAAAAAAATAAAAAATTGGAAATTAAAAATTGGAACATATATGATTTTTTGAATTATTTTTAATATAACTTAAAGGAATGTGTATTACTTGTTAATTTCGCTTGCAAAATTTGTTTCATCTATTAATAGTGGATGAAATAATTTTTTCTTGGTTTTACTATACATTTTTAGTTGTGGTTGTAAAAGATAAAGTTTTTAAAACAAATGGAGTGGCATTATCCTCGGAAATGAGTAGTTTGCTTTCAACTAGAAAGTTTTGGCTTTGGTTAGAAGGAATATAATACTGTTGATCGGACAAAATTTATATGAAAATTTTCATGAAAATTTTCAGGTAAAATTTGTCAAGTTTTTTTTTTTTTTTTTGTAAAATGATTAATAAAAACATTAATAAAAAATTCAAACCAATAAATTAATAGAATTTAATGTGAAGATTATTAATATGTAAAAAAAATTATTTAAAATATTATTTATAATTTATAGTTGGTCGATATTTATTCAAATATAAATATTTTGTTAGCATTTTTACTAAAAATGTTTATTTAAAAATATGTATTAAATTTTTTTAAAATTTATGCACACTTAATCTATATAACAAAATCTTTTAATCTATCAGTTTTGATTTTCAATTTTAATTTTTATTTAATTATTTCTAATAAAAAACTTCATGAATTTCATCTAAAAAATTTTATCTAAGTCTTTTCCATTGTGTTGATCAGGCTCCAAATGCTTGGCAATTTGTCCCTATGACAATTTTTTTTTTTATGCAAACCAAGGTATAAAGATGCCAACTTCATGAGATGGATTTTTTTTTCTAACTAGATTTGGTAGTTTGAAATATGATATGGTAATATGATATAAGTATGATATGAAAAAAGATAAGAAAGTAACATGATTTAAAAATTTTAACAAAAACTATCTATAGGTTTAATAAAAAAAATTATATTTCATATTTTTTTTATGTTTATATGAATTATGAAATATAATTTTAATATAAAATACGATATGAATATACAAATTATCATTGTTTTACATGACACAAATATATAAATTATTTGATCTATTCACAACTATTTAAGATCCTTTTATTAATGGCTAAAGAGTATAAAAAAACTCTAAACTATAATTAATGATCTAAGTCCTTTTTTTTTTATGGCAAGTCAACCTTTCCAAGATTTATTTGTATCCAATTATGCCCTTATTTAGATAAAAATTTAATACCATTAAATTTTTTGCTAAGTAAGATAAAATTTTATTTGAAATCAATAAAATAGATAAAAAATTATCACTAACATTATTGATATATGTAAAAATTAAATCAAATAAACTATTTTTTTTCTTCTCTACTTTTTTGTCCATCTCTCTACGTTCCATTTAAACATTCCAATTAAATTGCTATTCGAGAATTGATTGATTAAATTTTACATATAACTTAACTTTATCCCATTTAAAATTTCACATTGAATCAAAATAGAAATATTAAAAGGTTTGGGTGATTATAATAAAAATATCACAGAATTTAGACCTGGTATTCGATACATAAGATATGATAAGATATGATAAGATAGCATTATGAATATGATTATATTAAATGATTTAATCATATTCTGTATTTGATGTGTGTAATAATTAAAATAAAATAATTTATTTATTAATCAAAATTTTTTTTAAAATTTATACAATTAAATTATTGATGTAATTTTTAAGGATATAATAGAATATATAAATTTAATCCCATAAATTGAAAATAATCTTTATATTTTAAAAAGATTGAATCATCTTATATTAAGAAAATGATTAATTTTTATTGTAATCTTATCTTTTTTTTAAAAAATATAAATCACATAGAACATAAAATAATTATAATTTTATCTTATCGATAATTTTATACACTAAATATAACATAAAATTATTATTAAATTATAATTTAAGGGCATTTATGACCCCTTACTCTTTAATTTATCATTTCAATTCAAAATAAGTGTGTATTTAATGACACGATTCGTCATAAACCGATACATAACGTGTCTCTATCAGCATCTTCCTTTTTACATTAAAAAGGTTAAGCAACATTAGGTTTTATTGTCAACAAACATCAACAAACAACCCTGGCATCTATTTTATGAAAAAATAAATAAAATAAATAAACATGTAAAGGGATCATAAAATAAATAAAGAGTATATATTATATTTAGGATATAAATAAATAAAAAATAATTGATAATGAAATAAATAAATAATTGATAGTGACAAATACAATAATTTTATAATAATAAAATATCATTTGATTTAAAAAAGTATATATTATATATTAAATTTGTCTTTGAACTAAAAAAAATAATTTTGTTAATAAAAGTATTAAAATATTTAAAAATAACTATCTAAATGACGTATTATGTTTAAGTTTTAGTTAGGGAATAAAAAATGAATAAAAATGTAAAAAAATACTAAAAATTTTGATAAAGCATTAATTGAAATAGTTTGATTGAATATGAGATATTAAAATTTTTTTATTTTAAAATTAATTTATATTATTCACTATAATATTATTATTTCTATTAGTTATTCATGTGTTAAATAAATATATTATGAAAATATTAAATAAATGATTGTATAAATATCACATATTATTTAAGTGTAATCAAGGATAATACAATAAAAAAATTTATTAGATAATTTTAGATTTTGTGAATAAAATACAAAAATTTAACATTTAAAAAAAAAAAGAAATGATTTATACTTTCTGCCAAAATCACTTATCCTCTTGATATTTAAAAATTTACAAATCAAACGTCCTAACAAAATGATGCTAACCCAATAGAGAAACTTACTAAAAAATGAAAAGATAAAATAAAAATTATGTATTTCAAAGAGAATTTAAGTCTTTTACGTTTTCTTAAAAGTAAAAACTGAATTTAAATATAATGTTGTATTACTAGGAAGTAGGAATATATATTTTTTGATGGTGTATACTTGGAGTACATTAAGAATTATTAAAGAAAAACTCAATTGTTGAGAAAACGGGTTGGTTTGATCACACTTTATTCTCAACTGAGTCAAAATAGGATTTTGGAGGAATATTTGAAAATATAAAAAATAATATAATTTATAATTTTAATACAATTATATAAATTTAATAAAATAAAAAATATATTTTATTTTAATATATCAACATAAATTTAACACAATTTTATTTTTATCTTTTATGTATTTAAAATCATATGAACATAATAAAAATACACTTAATTTTCTGCTCTAATTCAATTTAACCGGACGCTGCTCTGCAAAGTAGTGGCTGGGGCCGGGGGATTTGGCTGGTCGAGGATTAAATTGCGGTGGGGACACGTTGCATTGGACCTCAACAAATATAATAATGTAAAATTAAGTTGACCCAATAAATAAAAAAAAAAAGGGTACCAACAATGACACCATTCTGCTTTATAAACCATAATGCAAGTTGATTTCCTCATCGTCTTATCCTCGCCCTCAAGCACCAATGTCCAAATAGCATTAGTAGACGAGCATTATTAACGTTCCTGTCCCACTTGCCCCATTGCCTAACTGTACTGTTCACTAACTTTCCACGTAAAAACAAATGCCAGCAGTGAGCAGTCCACAACCCTCTGCCACTTCCCAACCCCACCACAGATTTATAAAAATTTCTAGGTATATTTACGTTTTCAGAGAGTTCTCAAAGTTTTCTATTTGGACACCACACGTTTCATTCCTCCAAAGCCTGGTGGGATTTTCCTTTTTCTTTTTGAGTTAAAAAAGGAGTTTCTTTTCACTGTTTTGATGGCTTTGAATTTGGTTTCTCCTCCTGATATTAAGACCATCTCCTTCTTGGATTCAGCGAAGGCTAGCTCCAATTCCCTCCCCAAGCTTTTTCCAGGTTTTTTTTTTTTTTTTTGCCTCAGCTTACAAGTTCATTTTTTTTCCTTGCTTGCTTGATTTCCATGCTAGGCATATGAGAAACCCGAAAAAAAGGTTTTTTTTTTTTTTGTTTAAAACCCTGAAAAAGCTTCTCTCTTTGTTTCTTGGGTTTGGATTAAAGATTGGTGTTTTGTGAATTTTAAGGGGGGATTGTTGTGAAGAGGAAAGACTATGGCACTACGTTTGGGAGGAGAGTACAATGTTCAGCTCAGGCTCCACAACCACCACCGGCATGGCCAGGACGAGCTTTTCCTGAGCCTGGACGCAAGACTTGGGATGGCCCCAAGCCTATCTCCATTATTGGTTCAACTGGTTCCATTGGAACTCAGGTGAAAAGGGGGAGAGAGAAAAGCCTTTTATCTTTTAGATACTAAACTTTTTGGCCTTTTACCGTTGAACTGTCTGGCCGGCATTTTGCTCTAATTTTAAGCCTGCATGTTTTGATTGGCACTTGATCAAGTTGTTTAGAATCATAATTTGGTGTTATGTAGACGTTGGACATAGTTGCAGAGAATCCAGATAAATTCAGAATTGTGGGGCTTGCTGCTGGTTCAAATGTGACCCTTCTTGCTGAACAGGTAACTATTCAGTTTTCACCGAGTTATGGCAACTTATACTGCATTAGTTTTCCAGTTTCCGATGACAACCATTTTTAGATGTCAAACTCGCATTTGAGTAACTTGATTCATGGACTAACATGATTGATGTCATAATCCGTTGGTACTTCAGCCCTATGTGGTTGTGCAGTATAATCTCATATGAAGCGGTTTCTGCATATGCTTAAAAGTGTTAGAATAAAAATCATAAACAATTCCCTCTACACAAGATAAAAGATTTAAAACATGCATTGGGTTTTTGTCGAAGCTTTAAGGGCTGATAATGTTTCTGCATATTACAGGTGAAGACATTCAAACCTCAACTGGTTGCTGTTAGAGATGAGTCTTTGGTAAATGAACTCAAAGAGGCTTTGGCTGATATGGAACGAAAACCTGAAATTATTCCTGGGGAACAAGGAGTTATTGAGGTAACCTATGATTTAGTTCATTATTTCTTTTCTTTGACTATACAAAGCCATTTTCATTGTTTAGATTGTTAAGCTTAAAAGTTTTTCCAGGTTGCTCGGCATCCAGATGCTGTCAGCATAGTTACAGGGATAGTAGGCTGTGCAGGATTGAAGGTACTCATTGATCTTTTTACTTTTTCCCTCCATTTGGGCATGTCCCACATCCTGCCTTTTCAACCCTGTGATCCATAAAACTAGGAGCTTTCTGTAAAGGCTGCATTTAAGATTTTTTGGTCTAGTTTTATTGTAATATGTCATATAAAAAAACTGAATGCAGTTTAGGCTAATTGAAAGAAGAAGATTAGATGTTTAGCAGAATTTTAAATTTGTGATTGGATTATTGTACTCATGTGCCATGTGCACACAAGCCACAGAGAATTGTATGCAGATCTATTTCTGCTACCTCTATGTATTGCTTCTTTTGCATCCACTGAACAATGTATATTGAAGATATTATGAACTACATTTTACTGTCAAGAATTAGGATATGTAAAGAGAAGCAAACAATTTGTTGTTTATTAAATTATATTGATTAGCTCACTAAAATCTCCATCTTTTATCTTTTTGTAGCCTACTGTTGCTGCAATAGAAGAAGGGAAAGATATTGCTTTAGCCAATAAAGAGACCTTGATTGCCGGTGGTCCTTTTGTCCTTCCTCTTGCTCACAAGCATAAAGTAAAAATCCTTCCAGCAGATTCGGAACATTCTGCCATATTTCAGGTATGAAACTATAAGTCAATGAATAAGAGTATCTGAAAATTGCTCATTGTTCAGAGATTCTTTGACAATTATGTTGTTTTCTTGTTGGTAGTTGGGCATCTTTACATTTTTCTTGGTGTAACTTATTGCGACAACTTGCTTGACCTGTTATTTTATCCTTCAAGTCATTCTTGATAATTACAGAACAAGCTCATAGTGTTTTGTTTCTTCAGTGTATTCAGGGATTATCGGAAGGTGCACTTCGGCGTATTATTTTGACTGCTTCTGGTGGGGCTTTTAGGTGTGGAATCATAATTTATGTTAGATGATTAAGTTTGCAAGTTAGGATGATTAAGCTGCATTGAACAATTTGCTCACATTGTTTCTCATAGGGATTGGCCTGTTGATAAATTGAAAGAAGTTAAAGTAGCTGATGCTTTGAAGCATCCTAACTGGAATATGGGGAAAAAGATTACTGTCGACTCTGCTACCCTTTTCAATAAGGTTTAGTTTTATCAAATGTTTAATTCAAAATTACAAGCAGTGTACTTTTCAATAAAGTATGTTAGTATTTAAAATGTTACCCTGATCTAAATTACTAGCATTAAGCATTTTCTGTATATGACAGGGTCTAGAAGTCATTGAAGCCCATTATCTCTTTGGAGCTGAGTATGATGACATTGAGATAGTAATTCACCCGCAATCTATTATTCATTCAATGGTTGAAACACAGGTTTTGCTCTTAACTCTGTCATGGTGGCTACTGGTTGGTGATGCCATAGATTACACATGTTCACTTTTTACTTTGTATGGCAGCTGTGCCATTGAATGGCAAGATGTAGAGGATGGAGATTGGAATTCAATTTTCATTTCTCATCATTATTTTTTATTTGCTTATTTTCAGGATTCATCAGTGCTGGCTCAGTTGGGATGGCCAGATATGCGCTTGCCAATCCTCTACACTATGTCATGGCCTGAAAGAATTTACTGCTCTGAATTAACTTGGCCTCGCCTTGATCTTTGCAAGTAACTAGCTTGTCTACTTTCAAATTTTACTTCATTACTAAATTTTTCAAAATTTGATTGGGTTTCATTCAATTTACAATAATAATAATAATAACCCTGTGCCTGGACATTTTATATTACATATTATTTACATCATGTTATGTTTGAAACTTTTTATTGGCTGAAAAGGAAAATTTATTGGAAATGCGTTGTCACTGTAATCATTCTCTTGAGTTAAATTGGTTGATGGGTGATACAGGCTTGGTTCATTAACTTTTAAGGCTCCTGACAATGTGAAATACCCCTCTATGAGTCTTGCCTATGCTGCTGGAAGGGCTGGAGGCACCATGACTGGAGTTCTTAGTGCAGCAAATGAGAAAGCTGTAGAGCTGTTCATCAATGAGAAGTAAGTATTTTGTTTCTTGATGTTATCTTGTTAGCACATCTGGCTTTCACTTTACAGTTTTCTTTCTGCGTTCTGCGATCCCCCTATGTGGATTTTTATTTTTTTTAATGATAAAAATACTTGATGAGTTTTATGCTTGAAACCTCTTTTACTGACTATAATTTATATATGAGGAACTTTAAACCAATTAGATAGAGCAAATATCAAAACAAACTAAAATTTTTTCTAATCCACTCTACATTTCTAACCATGTAAAAGTCATAAAGACATGGAATACCTTTCAGTTAATATTTGAGATGTTGGCCGCCATACATCCCACATTTATGGTTTACTGTTTACGCTTTAAAAGGATATCATAGAAGTTGTGAAACAAATGAAATAATGTTATTTATCAAATTTTGTTTTATAACATGAATCTCTATATCTAAACATATATAGAACTGTGAAGTATTCTCTATTCCTCAATCAATCCATGTTGAGATTCACTGGCAAGTTTCATGATTGACCCTTTCTTAACTTTACCATGAAGCAGTGGAAAGAAGGATATCAAGAATGATTCTTATCCCCAACTTAAAGCCTTGTAGCACCCTTCCTACGATTCCTGAACTCTTCTTTTTCACCTTCACAAAACTCCATTGCTTTTAAATGTAAATCTTTTTTTTTCCCTGTTATTTCTTCTGACCATTCCTCAAAAACATTTTGCTTAATATATGCATGACTTGGTGGTTTTGTCATCTTCTTTGGAAAAAGTACTACTAGCATTTTGGAAAGAAGCTGGATGTCTCCCGGTCCCTGGAATTAGGTTGAGTCAATATATAGTGATGATCGTTGAACTTTTTGTTATCATGATACGAGGTTTAAATTGGCGGGCATATGTGCTGCTCCATGCATTTGCTTGCTGTAAGAACCTGGTGACCTGGAACTAATAAATAGTTTCCCTATTTCAGGATCAGCTATTTGGATATTTTCAAGGTGGTGGAGCTAACTTGTGAGAAGCACCAGGAAGAATTAGTGGCCACTCCTTCCCTAGAGGAAATTATACATTATGACTTGTGGGCACGAGATTATGCCTCCGGTTTGGAACGCACTTCCGGTCTAAGTGCTGTTCCTGCATGATTGATGACTTGCTCATGTTGGCCAGTCTAACAATGGCTCCATCTTGAAGACAGATTTTGAATTCATGCCGAAGGCTAGCGAACTTGAAAAAAATTTGTGGGGGCATTAAGCAAATGTGCACCCCTGAATAACATTCCCTTGCACAATTGTACATTATCAAACACATTACGTAGTATTTGATAGCAATAAAATGATTATTTAGCTTGTATGACAAAAGTAGGGGAAGATTAAAGTGCAGAGGAAGAAAGTGGAGAACAATGAAGATTGCTTTTTGCAGTACAAAATGTTTTCGTTTGACTATATTTAATGGATAACAAAACAATCTTTTGTGAGACTTGGTCATCACTCATCATATGGAATGATTTGGCATTAACGGCTGTCTTAACATTTCCTTTCATTTTATCTCCAAAAAAAAAAAAAAAAAATCCTTTCTTTAAGTGCCCTTTGGTTCTCATCATCTTGGATGCATTTTGAGAATAGAATCACTGAAAGGTTCTTGAGACAAAGGAGGGAAATATGTATGTTCCGTATCCAAGCATGCAACATTTTAGCAGTTATATACTAAAATGTCTTTCTAATTGAGACAAAAAAGTAATTCATGAATTAAGCCAAGGGATATTAGTTATAAAATCTGGATCAGGTTCAGCTCAATTTAGATAATTAATGAATAAATTGGATTTAAAATTGATTAATTAGTTGTTAATGGATTAATTAAGAGAACAGATCATAGTTTGAGCCCAACCCAATGCGTTTGGGTTCCCGTAAGCATAAGCGGAAGTAATAATTCATAACTACATTGATTTAACCCAATATAAGAAAGCCTAAAGAGTCCAAGTTACTAAAACTTGTTAGGCTTAAATTGATCTACATTTTGAAATAACAAAAACTGCAAGCGCGTTTGTCAAACGTAAATTTGCTTTTTGACTTTTTGTATATTTTGAAAAAAAATTCCTATTGGCTTAACTTGAAAATTCAAATTTAATTGATATTCAAAGAAAATATTTTCCCTTGGATTTAATATAATCTCAGCAGTATTGCTTTAAAGAAATGAGAATTTTCAAATGAACTTAGAGCTTTTGTTCTTAGAAAGAAAAATGTATTAATTTCTAATCTTTGTAAACATTTATTCTTAGATTTTAAACAATTAATTTGAAAATTGTTTTAACGCTTCATACTAAATCCCTTAAAATATGGTTCCTCGAATGAATGATTTTGGACAAATGAATTTGGGATTAAATCAATTTTTAAACAATTAATTTGAAAATTGTTTTAATGCTTCAGACTAAATCCTTTCCTTAAAATATGATTCCTCAAATGAATGATTTTGGCTAAATGAATTTTGGGATTAAGTCAATTTTTTTCAAGATCAAATAAGTCAAATATTTTAAAATTAAATAAAAGGATATATCCTTTGTAGACACTGAAATTTATCTAAGATGATTCAAGTGTTGTTCGATTTTTGTGCTTGATTTAAATGTTTCAATTCGAACAAGTTACACGCTTCAATTAGATTAAGCTCGATTAGGTTTTATTTCGGATTAATTATTATTATTATTATTATTTTTAGAGGCCCAATTTTAAAACCTAAGTTTCTTATTAATGGCCTAATTGCAGTCTAAGTTCAAAGCCCATTTTTTTTAAAGGCTCGAAGTCCAATGGAATCCAATTTTCAAATTTAAACCCAATTTCACTTTTATTTTATTAATTAAAAATAAAAAATCATAAAAAAAGAAAAAAGAGCAATAAAAAAAATAGAAGAACAATAAGAAAAAGAAAAAGACAACCAATAGGTACTGGCCAGCAAGCAACTGCACGGACCACTGCCCTATAACCAAACCTTGCAACAATACCCTCAAAGTAGGCTGTAGATCACAACAAGCCAAAATGATAGATAGCAAATTTTTATTGATAAAATTAAAGACAATTCATATTAAAGAAGTGGGTAAAGGGCTGATCTTGAAAAAAGAAAAAGATACACAAAGAAGAAACCTTGCCAAAACCCCTGCTAGCCCTTCATCTGCACCTTTCACAAACCCAGTATAATCTCCAATCATAGCTCTAGCCTTTTGCATGTCCCAATCCTTCCATTTCACCAGCTTTAGCCTACATGCACTAGCTCCAATCAACCCTGCATGCACCAGCCCTTCTTTCACTCACCATAGCACAACTTTTTCATCAGCCACTAACCAAAAAACCCAAAACTCACATTCATCACCCATGCACAAAAAAAGCCTTTTCTAGTCCTTGTCTAGCACCATTTCACCATTTTCAATGTCATAACATATAGATCTATAGACCTACTGCTAAACATATATTAAATTCAACGACCTATAATTTAAGCCAATAATTTTGATATCAAGCCATCTATCATCCAGATAGTTCAAACATTAGTGCAATTTGGATGATTACCCCATGATGACCCTAACTTTCATTTTTCTATTTTTTTAGAATTATGCAATACTTTTAAGTACAATGGAGTATTAGATGATGCAATTAGACTTAGGCTATTTCTTTTCTTTTGTAGGGACAAAGCTAAGAATTGGCTATCATTACTACCTTCTAGCTCCATCACAACATGGAAGGATTTGGTTCAAAAGTTCTGTGCAAAGTTTTTCCCACCAACAAAAACCTTAAAAATGGGAAATGAGATCACCACATTCTAGTAATATAATGGTGAAACTTTGTACAATGCTTGGGAAAGGTACAAAGGAATGCTTAAAAAATGCCCACACCATGGATTACCATGTGGTCGCAAGTCCAGATCTTCTACAATGGGCTTAAGTCCAGATCTTTTATAATGGGCTTACTCCTTCCATAAGAACCACCAATGATTTTGCAGCTGGAGATGCTATCATGAACAAGACTATTAAATAGGCTTATGAGCTAATCGAGGAAATGGTAGCTAATGATTATAAATGGCGAGTTGAGAAAGATACAATTGGCAAGTTTGAGCTAGATGCCTTGTCCACCATCACATATCAACCCACCACTTTGACCACATGGCACCACCTGACCCAAGGCCTATTCAAAAAGAGCTATTTAAGGAATTGAAGTAAGCCATATTCCTAGAAGATTGCAGCCCTTAACTTTTACAACTCGTACCCAAAAAGCAAAAAGATCCAGGGTGTTTTACTATACCTTACAAAATTGAAAAGTTAAATTTTTTTTATGCTCTGTGTGATCTTGGTTCTAGCATAAATCTCATGCCTACTAATATTTTTGTGCAACTAGGTTGTGGAGAGCTGAAACCTGTCGAGTTCAACATTGAAATTGTTGACCAGTCTATGACATTACCACAAGGGATGTTGAAAAATGTTTTAGTGAAATTTGTTAAATATGCTTTCCATGTGGATTTTACTATCTTAGACATGGAGGATGATGAGTCTCCATTACAGATAAGAAGACCTTTCCTATTTACTGCCAAGGCCGTAATAGATGCGTATGATACTAGCCTTACCTTTAGATTTAAAAATAAAAAGCTGAAGTTTGTATTTGGAGGGTATGGCGTGCTTAGAGATGGTGTTAGTGTAGTCAAGGTAAAGAAAACCCTTGACTGGATATCTGCAAGCACACAAAATCGTACCAATTGATATGTTTCCACAAATAATTGAAATTCAATTTCTTGATCTGTATCTTCAATTTTTGGAAACTTATCAAGTTCTTCTGTTAAGCCCCGATCCATGAACCCACAAAATCCTTCAAATTGTATCTGATTCAACCCAGGTATTGTATACATTTCCCCATTTTCATTCCCGAGCATTTTGAATTTCCCATTTATCAAAAAAATCCCATTCTTTTCTCATTCTTCATCGAATCATATGAATCGATCTAATATAATGATAAGTAGAGTATCGTTCCAATGGATAGTGTATATATTGAGAGAATCAAGTACTAAAGTTGTCTCACCCTATCTTATACTTGGAACACTTAAAAAAAAAATGCAATTAAATAAACTAATATGCAAACCAAAAATTAAATAAATTAAATTACTAACCAAATTTAACAATGCAAAAATAGAAACTTCAATGCAATAAATTAAAATAACAACTTAACATTAGTGCAATAAATTATTTAAATGCTAAAGCAGTCCACTAATTAATGCGGTAAACTAAAAAAGTTAAAAAAATTAATGCAGTAAAATAATAATAATGCAGTAACTCTATAATAGTCCTAAAATAACATGCAGAAATTTGAACTAGTGCAGAAAATAAAAAATAAACAATGCAGAACAGAAAAATTAAAAGTTGAAAGTTATGCAGTAGCTAAATTAACAATGCAGTAAATTGAACAAGAGCAAAATTATGTAATTAACTTAATGCAAAAGCTAAAAACTAAGTGCAGTAAAATTTTAAATTGCTAAAAACAGAAAAATTAAACCTAAAACTAATGCAGAAAAATTAAACGATGCAGTAAACTAAGTGCAATATTTAAAAACTAAAGCAGCAAAATATGCAGAATTTTCTAACTATGCATGAAATTAATCTAAATGCAGAATTATGTAAATAAAATGGTGCAGTGACTAAAAACTTAAATGCAGAAAAATTTTAAAGTGCAGAAAATAGTAAATTACACTTAAAATAGATGCAGAAAAGTTAAAACAGTGCAGGAAAATTATACAATAGCCAAAACAGTGCGGGAAAACCGAATATAAAGCAAAAAATAATCCCTAAATTATGCTAAACTTAATTGTAGACATGCAGTAAATTTTGCCTAAGCTAGAATACCTAAAAACTGAAATTTTAAAACATAAAACTCATGAAAACCGAAATCAAAAGAAACATAATAATAGAAAACAAAATCAGCACCTAAACCTCAATTAAGCAAGAACAAAAATTAAATTTGAAAACTTCAAAGAGATTAAGAGAACATGAATACGGAATTAAAGAACTTAAAATTAAATTGCAAGGACCTGAAATTAAAGAAAACTTAAATTGTAAACTTAAATTTAAAGTCGCAAGAACATAAAAATAAAAATTGTTTTGAGAACTTAAAAGAATGCTAAAGAATACTAGAAAAAAAAAAACCTTAGCAAAAACTAAAGCTAAAGACATAGGTTGGTTTGTCACTTCAACTACACACTTTTTCTAAGAAGAATATGATGTATTTATAGGCAAAAGAAACCCTAAAATCCCTAGGTAGGTTCAGCTGAAGTTGGGCTTTAAGAAGACTTCATAGTTTCGGTTGGACTTGGTCTCTTTAATCCAAGAATGCTTTTTTTAATTAAACTTCAACAAAGACTCTTAAAAAGAAAGCTTCTAGATCTTTACTATACCATAACTTATCATTAGCAACTCTTCCATACCATATATCAACTTACCAAAAATAGAATCTTGCCAAATCAAGAAAGTTATTTTCGGCCTTACTAAATTTAGC